GTGATGGGTAAGGGAATCATGCAAATGACTCCTAAAGTGAGGGAAGTCGGAGCTAAACCCGTAAGCTGGGAAGCCAGGGCAACGCTACGGTCCCGATGCCTATGAGTATACCAAGGGAGAGCCCAACTCAGAGGAACCCGGCGAAGGGAAATCATCATGCGACACAACCAGGGGCCTGTACAGGGTAAGGTGGTAGGAAAGTGACGACATCTGAAGTAGGCAGAGATGATCGAAAGGAAAACCATGACATCGAGTGCATTGTGGACGCTCAGAAGCATCCGACTGCTGCTGAAGGTTTGCCTCAGATGGAGCAGGCTCGACTTAAGCGGTCTCCTAAACCGAGGGAGAAGGAAGAGGGTCAGTGGGCTGAGGAGAAGCAGTCAACCCAGCACGACGAGCACGGTCATAGGCACACACCAACATGCGAGCGTGCTGCAAGTGCTCAAGGGGCTCCCAAGTAGCCTCCTCATCAGGGTAACCCTTCCAACGTACGAGATACTCGACGTGAGGAAGGTTGTCGTCGGTGACTCGGCGACCAATGATGTTTGAAACGAGGAACTCCTTATGGTCGTCCACCATGATGGGTGGAGGGCGCTCGTATGGTCGTCTAGCAAAAGGCTCAAACGGTCTGCGGTAGGGACGCAGTAACGAGATGTGGTAGACATCGTGCACACGAGTCTGGTGTAGGTAGTCGGGCAGCTTCACACGGAAGATGACTGGGCTAGAAGCCGTATCCGAACCGATGGTCTGGAGAATGCGGCATGGGCCAAAAAAGCGACGCAGGAACTTGCGAAGCGTATTCGCTTCGAGCTGTAAGTGGCGGGTGTCGACAAGCGCACCATCACCGACTTTGAATGGATGATCCATCCTCGATCGGTTCGCATGTGCGGCCATGCGAGTCTGGGAAGCGGCTATGTGCTCATGCGTGGTCTTCATGATCAACGTCATGTGCGCAACCCAATCATCCAGCGCCGGACAACTTGTCGGGGTGCATCTGAGACAGTCAAAGGAAGTCCGCGAGAAAACGAGGGTGATAGTCGAGGTCGCAATAGTAAGGCGACATCCCCGTGGCTGGCAAGACGGCGTGGTTGTAGGCTATCTCCGCGTGGACAAGATTGAGATCCCACTGCTGGTTGTTACGAACAATCTTTCAGAGAATATCTTTGAGAGTCCTGTTCGTGACCTCGACCTGACCATCGGTCTGGGGATGGTAAGACGAGGAGAAGCGGAGCTGGGTGCCATACACCTCGTGGAGCTGCCGTCACAATCCGTTGGTAAAGCGCGGGTCACGATCGGATATGATGCTCACAGGTAAGTCGTGGTCACACACGACTCGATCAAACACGATGTCGGCGACCTTACGTGCACTGATGGTATAGCGGCACGGAACAAAGCGTGCACGCTTCGTGAAGCGGTCGACGACGACCAATATAGCATCATGACTGCGGAGGGTTGGAGGACGAAGAGGACCGATAAAGTCCATCGAGATGGACTGCCAACGACCCTCAAGGATAGGAAGAGGCTGGAGCAAACCATAAGGCAGGTGGTTCGCACTGTTCACCTCATCACAGGTGGGATACTCTGCGACGTGGTCCTTCACAGTCCTTGCGCTTCGGCCAGACGTACTGGTGGCTTACCCGAGCCAACGTCTTGTGGAACCCCATATGATCGACGGCTACCTGGTCACGGAATTGTGCTACTGCCCGGACACGTAGCTGTCCAGTGGAGGGAACACAAATACGCGGCTCTCTGATACCCTGTGAACCGTGCCACTACACAAGACCGTTGTCCTCGAAAGAGTAGTTCGGGACGGTCTTCCCACTCTGAAGGGTCGCATGGATGTCGCGATAGACGGGGCAGTGGTGGTACTGGGTGGGAAACTCGTCGGTCACCGAGTGGTGGATGGTGGTGACCGAGATGGCAGCGAGCTGGATCTGCTCCAGGTTATGGTCAGGGCGCCGGGAAAAGGCATATGCGACCCGATTGGTCTCACCCTTTATGTGCTCGGTGGTGAAAGTAAACTTGGATAGGTCACGCCACCAACGAGCCTGCCGAGTAGTGAGCTTCGACTTTGTCAAAAAAACCTGGACAACAGAGTTGTATATGCGCACCGTGAATGGTACCCCGTGAAGGTAGTAACGTCAGTGCCGAGTGGCATAAACTACTGCGAGAACCTCACGTTGATCAACAGTGCAGTTTATCTCGGCGGGCATGAGCTGACGGGAGTAGAAAGCTATCGGACAATCACCTGAGCGAGACTCGACAGTGCCGTCCTCGACGATGGTAGGAGAATAGTCAAGAAAAGGCTCGTCAGTAGCTGGACGAGTAGGCGTCAGGCAGGAAGCAGTGCGAGTAGGCGTCAAGCGGGAAGCAGTGGTAAGGGCAGGGGTTGGGAAGTAAGGGATGCGAGGATGAGAGGAATCAGGAGAGCGAAAAATATGGAAAAACACTGCTCCTATGACAAAGTCTGACGCATCGGTGGTAAGGGCGATCAAAATCGGGTAGGTGGAAAACCGGTGCACATGTCACCGACTTCTTTAGGGCGCGGAAGGTGTCCTCGTGGAGGGGTGTCCAAGACCATGGCGGGTTCTTTCGGAGGAGGGTGGAGGTAAGGACGTAGAAATACCTAGTGTATCCTTGGATGAAGTTACTCTAGTAGCTAGTGAGGCCTAAGAAGCTGTGAAGCTGCCAGGCAGATGTGGGGACGGGCCACTTCGCAATAGTAGTGGTCTTCGCGTCATCCTTCTAGAGACCCTGTCTGACACGTAGTGTCCTAGGAAGTCCAATTTGCGCTGGGCAAAGCGACACTTACCGAGCTTGGCATAAAAGCCATGCTTGCGTAAGCAGTGTAGGACATCGCGGCGGTGTCTGAGATGGTCTTCTAAGGTACGGTTGTAGACCACGATGTCGTCCTGGTATACGAGAACGTGTTCTTCAAGGATGTCCTTGAAGATATCGTTCATCGCCCTCTGGAAGGTGGCAGGTGCATTGGTGAGGCCGAATGGCATCACTGCGAACTCGTAGTGCCCGAAGCGCGACCGAAAGGCGGTCTTCGATTGATCCTCTCCAGCATCGCGGATCTGATGGTAATCGCTACGAAGATCAATCTTTGTAAAGAAGTGGTTGCCTTTTAGGCGGTCGAACAACTCGTTGGCACGAGGCATGGGGTAGCTGTTCTTAACCGTGTAGCGGTTAAGGCCGCGATAATCGATGCAGAGACAGAGAGTTTCATCCGCTTTGCGCGCAAAGAGGACGGGTGCACCCCACGGGCCCACAGGGAGTTGGGTTTAATGAAACCCGGTCTCAGGAGCTCCTCAAGCTGACGCTCAAGTTCGGTGGCCTCGGGAATCGAGAGTCTGTAAGGTGCCTGGTGGTGAACACGATAGCCAGGCACGAGCCGGATGAAGTGCTTGACATCGCGCATAGGTGGGATGTCGGCGTACGAGAACGACGATGGAAAAACATCGTGGTACTCTCGAATGAGGTCACAAACAACGGGCTCCAGGTTGGCCGTATAGCGTGCGAGTTCCTCAACGTCAGCGTCGACGCGCGACGACGAGGCAGACTTAATGGACGGCGGAGGGAGGGAAGTAGAGATGGAAGAACGGAGATAGGAGGATCTGGCTCCAGGGAGATGGGGTCGGCGTCTGGGCAGGGTGGATCATAGTGCAAGAGATCCGTAACGTTCACCGTAAAGAAGGTGACGTTGTCCTGTCGGATGAAGTGGGCGAACTTCCGAGGCGAGGTGACGGTGATAGTGGGAGATGGTGTAGGCACGGAAGGCTCCGGGGGAGGAGAATCGGGGTGTGGTGTCGCAGTGGTACCTATAATAGGTATGCGATATGTCTATCCACACTTCGTTCTGAGAATGAGAGTGTTGGTCGCCCAATCGGCCTCGGTGCTACGAAACCTACGGGACCACAAAGTACCGAGAATGAAGTCGTACCCCATCTCCATCACATCGAAATGTGCAGAGGAGTGGTGGCGACGGGACCCCGGGGAACGATCAGTCGGTTTCAGAGTGAGGAAGAAGGGAAAATCGGTGACCATCTGATCGAAGAAGCGTCGGGTCTTGTCACCTCCTAGGGTGACGAAGATGGGAGTCAGGGAGACCCTGTCGTGGGTAAGCGTGCTTCCTTCACCACACGCGGATGAATGAAGTCGCCCTCAGAACTAGAATCCCACAACGCTAAGTTCACCCTCGTAGAGATCCCGAGGCGTACTGGAATGATCGGGAGAGTGCGATCAAGATCAAAGAGGACGGCGAGAAGGCGACGCAGTGCAGCGACATGGAGGGTGAGTTGCTCCTGGCGAGCCTGGAGCATGCTCAAGTCCAGAAGGGAGGACACAACGTCCTCGAGAGTCGCAAGCTGCTCGCTGCAACAGCCTGAGCGAATGGATCGACGCGTCGGTAGTCGCAGAGAGGTGGGAGGGGAGACGGTGGTCTGAGGAGGCACAGACGATACTGCGACAAAGGGATGAGTCCACTCTGTCGGGTCTTGCAATACCTCAACTCCAGTAGCGAGAGGGGCAAGCCGCGACGGAGATGTCGAAAAACCGACTACTGAGGAGGGCACAGGTGTACACTTCATCGTGGCTAGGAGGCGCCGAGGGGGGACTGAGCACAGCGCTGGCGGGAAAGCTCAACGTAGTGGCGATCAAGGACAGCGGTGTAAGGGCATCGCGAGGAGGTATGACTTTCCTGGCGGCAGCGCAAACACCCACGCCGACTCAAAATGACCTTGCGCTCCTCAGCGGAAAAGACACCGCGAGGAGGGACAAAGCCTTGAGGGAGGTCCTTTTGAGAGACCTCGGGGGGCGACGAGCCGGCATGACCAGAACGGCTGCGTGCCCGAGAGAGGGTGGAGAGGGCAAGTTGGAGGCGCTCAGCTATAGGGAGGGTAGAGTCCTCCAGGTGGTAGTGGACAACCTCGCAGAGGTCGAGGTCGTCGCTATGGTCACCCTCAGGCGACACCGAGACAACAACGTCCTGCTCTCCATACTCGAGTGCGCTAAAGCGGTGCGAGAAGTGGCGGCCCTGCTGCGCGGAACGGCGGGTACGACAGTGGAAAGGGGAATGACGTTGGGAACTGCAGTGAGAGAAGGAGGGGGCGTAACCAGTACGTTGAGGTTGAGAGGAGGAAGTGGGTTGAAAACGGGCCCACATCCGTTGATGGGCCCTGGCGGCCTCGTAAGCCTGCGGGGCCGATGTGAAGTCATACTGCCATAACTCGGAGCGGTACTTAAGGGGAAGGTTGGCCAAGAAATAATCGATGAGGGCAACCTCAGGGAGGAACGCCACATCGCAAATGAGGCAGGCATCCTGAAAGACCTGGATGTGGTCGTCCAAGCCGACGGTGCCACCAGAGCCGGACCAGCGTGTACTGACGACACGCTCGAAGGTGTCAGTCACATCGTGTTGGGCTCCGAAGCGATCCTCGAGGAACACCTGGAAATCCATGAAGGTCGGGGTCTGACCCTCACGAAGAGAGCGAGTGTAGAAATCCTCCCAGGCATCGAAAGGACTGCCACGCAGACCTGTGGAGAGGTGAGCCACCCACTGGTCAGGTGGGACGCCCATGAGCTGGAGCGTGCGGGAGGCGGACTACAGCCACCGAGACACGCGCATCCCTATACCGTTGTACAAGGCAATCTCCGTCAAGCGGACAAGTGGTGCGCCACCATTTTGGCAGCGAGGAGATCGAGGAGCAGAGGTCTGTGCTACGGCCGAGTAAGTCAGTGCAGGTCCTGGGGAAGGGGGTGCAATTGACTGTACGCCTGGGCCGTATGGTGAAGCGGCGGTGGAAACAACAACAAGCTGCGAGGGAACTGTGGTAAAAGAGGTATCCCTCGCAGCAACCGATGGAGTAGGAAGGAGATAAGATGTGGGTGGAGGGGGTGCAGGGCGAGGGAAGCGAGCCTGCATGGATGAAAGAGCAGAGGAAGAAGAGGGTGTGCGCGAAGGCGCGACCACCTGTGAGGGTAGGGGTGGTTGAAGGCGTAAGAGGACGAGGTCAGCCCGAATCTGGGCCAGTTCGGCCTCAAGACGTCGGGCATAGATCAAGCGAGGAGTAGTAGGGGAAGTAGACGCACGAGCGGAGCAGGGCATTCCATAAGAGGGAGAATCAGGTGACACTGCGGTTGTGCGAAGGGGAGGGAGAAGCGGGGAACCCGAAGAGTGACGGAATGACAGAGGGTTGTGGTCCTGTGGCCGTAGTGACTGGAATGTGGGCGGGTGCGCCCGTAGAGTGACGGAAGGCCTGACCCATGGCGGTTGTCGTGCTAGGAGCGTGGACGGTCCCCAAGATGGTCGGGTCGGGGGCAGCTGAGGAGGAAGCTTTGTCGTGGCCACCATGTCGGAGGATGGGGGACCCGAACTGGGAGCCAGGGAACGAGAGAGAGTTGGGAGAGGAAGGATGGGTAGCGTCCTGGAGTTGCCGAATGCCTGCGGCAAGAGTCGCCACTTGCGGCTGTAAAGGCGCAAGGGTCGTCAGTTGCGCTTGGATGGGCCCGAGGAGGGAGGTGAGGTGGGTGTGCAGAACCCCCTGGGCTGATGGCCATGGGACGCCGATACAGGTGTGGAGCCCGGTGCCGAGGTTGTTGCCGCGTTGGCGGCTTGTGACACGTCGTCAGCCATAGGGAGGTAACGGGCCGGATTGGAGGGGGTCGGAGGAGGTCTGTGTGAGCGGAGGGCGTAGGGGGGGATCAATGGTAGAAAGCGACGGGCGGCGTTAGTGAGTCAAGCACGGGTGCCGTCAAAGGGGGAGGGGTGGTTCGGGTCTAGGGTGCCCGAACGGGAAGGGAAAGTAGGGAGAAGGGATGATGGGAGAGTCGGGGGGTTAGGGAAACCCTAAACCCTAGAAAAACCCTAAGAAAACCCTAACCGAAGTTTGAGTGGTTAGCGTAGGGTATCGGTGACCTAATCCAAAAAAAAAATAGCAACCATGGAAGGAAAGGGAAAAGAAAAATAAATAAAGAATTATATTTAAAAAAAACAAAAAAAACAAAAAAAGAACAAATTATTTATTTTTTTGGAATTTTTAGCAACATTTTCTTACCCCCCATGGGGTCAAGAATGTGCCAAGAGGAAGGAGAGATCAAGATAAGCACACAAAGGTTCAAAATGCCGCAAATTATAAATTAAAAAAAAAAAAAAATAATAATAAGTAAGTTAATAAATAAAGAAATGAGGAGGTGGAGAGTGAAAAGACTAAGTGTTGAATTTTTCAAAAATTTCGACAGCACTTCGTTACCCCCATGGGGTCAAAGTGTGCCGGCAAGGATATGACTAAGTAAGATGTAGAGAGGGGAGAAAAGAGAAAATTTTGGCAGCACTTCGTTACCCCCACGGGGTCCAAATGTGCGCCGAGAGCGGAAATAACAAAGTCCTACCAGAGCTAGAGATGCCGCAGAAAAAAATCAAAATTTAAGAATAAATAAAAAGAACAAGAAAATAAATCAAAAAATCAGAAAGGAGGTAAAGAGAAGAAGAGAATTCGAATTTTGAAGAAATAGGAAATTTAAATAAAAAGAAAGACAAAAACAAGAAAAACAGAAAAAAATCAAAGTTGGGGGGCGAAGAGGATGAAAAAGTGAAGGAAGAGATAAATAGGTGAGAAAGAGAAAAAGATGGAAGTGGAAGGTGGGGGGATGATGAGGTTGTAGTTGGGGGAGAGGAGGGTGAGAGAATAGCAGAGAAAGGGATGGGAAAGGTGGAGAGGAGTATAAGAGATTAGTAGAAGATGGTGAGTGGGGAGGGGAGGAGAGAAAGGATGGCAGAAGATGAGTGAAGAGGGAGGGAGGAGGAGAGAGGAGTGGTAGGGTTAGAAAAAGTGATTAGACGGTGGAGGGGGGAGGAGAAAGAGAGGGGGCGGGGGAGTAGGTTAGTTGGGAGTGATGATACCAAGCTCTTGGTTGGCCAAGAGCAACAAGATCACCAAGGTCCACTGTATCTTGACCTTCACGATGCTGGCAGCCTACTGCTGCAACAAAAATGATGTCGGAGTAATCAAGGGTTGGCTGAGATCTTGATCAGCCGCCCTGGTTGGCTGACGCGCAGCCCCCTAGCCAAGGGGGGTCTTCACTGCTGCCAGACTGCTGGTGCAGCAGTACAAAAAAATAATGGGCGGCATCTTCAGCAGCAGCTGGGTGTGCTGAGATCTTGATCACCTACCCAGATTGGCCTGTACTGCGGGGGTCTTCAGCTCCACAACAAACTGTGCGCAGGTAGCAGCAGTGTGGGCACGTGGCGCGTCCGTGTGTGGCGGCCTAGTAATCACAGTCTCTCTTTTCTCGCCACGTGTCACTTCTTTCCTGCTGCACCTTTTGTCACGTTTTCGTGCAGTTTTTCGCTGGGAACGCCCGAAAAACAGCCAAAAAACTCGGTGTAGGGTTTTGCAGTATTTCCTGCTATGTGGTGTGGTGGGTGGGAGCGGGGAACGTTCCTGCTCCGATACCAGTGTGGCGGACCCACCGGGTGAGGTGCTCCGCCTGGGATAGAGATGGAGATGGAGAATGAGGGTGGAGCAAGATGGCACAACGCAGCTCCCACGCAGACTCCAACGCATGTACTCCAAACTGTGCGAATGTAGAATGACCCAAAGTACAGATTCTGGCTGGGGTATACCCGAGCGGACTGAGTGGACTGGACTGGACTGGCTGGTACCGACAGGGGTACCGGCCTGGACTAAACTACCCCGAATACAACACAGGCCTGCCAACCAGAGGTCCGCTACACACAGCCTCTCTTGAAACTCGGGGCTTTCAAGAGCTGTCAGAGTCAGAGTGGCAGTCGCTTGAAACCCCCTTTCAAGAGGGGCTGCTCTTGAACGGTTCGAAACCCCAGCCTGAGCCTGCAACTCGTGCATTTTCAAGTGTCCTCGGCTGAACCCTTGAGGGACTATCGATTTTCATTTTCAAGAGTTGTCAGGCCATTATCCTGACTGACAGCAATTCGGGAAAAAAAAAAAAAAAAAAAAAAAAAAAAAAAAAGTTAGCCTCAGGTTATAAGTTGCTTACAGGTTTGTGGATTTCGGGTCCCGAGAGGGTCGCGTAAAAAGCGAAGCTGGGTAAGGCTCCCAGATAGAAAGTACTCCGGGCAGACTGTGAGGACCCCGGCCTCAGGCTCAGCCTTTTAATCTTAAGCCTTGGGCACTGGGCCTTTAAAAAAAAAAAAAAAAAAAAAAAAAAAAAAAAAAAAAAAAAAAAAAAAAAAAAAAAGCAGTAGGACTGTCCTGTCCTTTTGCAGTCTTTGTCTTAAGCACCATGATCGCCCTTTCTGGAGTGCTTGCTGTGTTGCGAGGGGCCAAAAACTCTAGAAAATGAAACTCTTGAAACCGTCTGACAGTTCTTGAAACATTCCCCCATTTCAAGAGTGGTGGGGCCTTCCCTTGGTGCACCTTCCCACTAACCAAATAATGAGGTGCTAATGTAGCCTACAGGCAGCACATCACGTGAACATCCTGGGAAAGAGTCCAATGTACCCAGGCCCAATTCCCACATGGCCCTATTGTTCTCTTTGTGGCCCCTAGCCTTGTAGATACAGTCAGAAATTGAGCATTTGGGTAGACCAACAGGCCTAGCTCAGTCGATGCACCCACTGGTTCCCCCAAGAATATATAGGGGCTCGTTTTCCTTGAAAAAAAAATAAAATAATAAAAATAAAAAATGAATGGAATACAGACCCAAGTTCCAATCCAGATGCAATCAGATGACCAGAATAAGATCATTCTGAATTACCTGGGGCCGGTCAGTTCAATGATATCATTAAAAAAAAGGAAACAAAAAAAGAAGACAAAAAAAGAAAAAAAAGAATTGGGTACTGAAATGGGGCGACTTCCTGGCGGGGAGAGTAGGAGTGGCACCTGGTAGAAGGGACGCTAGATACAGCTATAATTCAGTCTAGATAGAGTTCTAATTCAGTCTAGATACAGCTGTAACAACCAGGCGAGCTCTATAAGCCTAAGGTGAACTTGAAGACCGTAGTTTAGCATCATGGTTTTGTCTAGGTTGAAAGGAAAGCTGGACCCGTTTCAGCATCATGGTTTTCTCTCGGTTGATGGGAAAGCTGGACCCGTTTCCAGCACAAGCCAAAGCCGGGGTAAGGGCCCGGTACCGCTGGGGCCCTTTTTTGCAATGAAAAAAAAGCAGGAAAGAAAAGAGAGAGATGGGCAGAAATGAGGTCCCATAATAATACCCAATTTCTTCCTTGTTTATGAGCCCCTATCATGCGGTGGCCAAATCCCACATCCCCCGAATTCAGCTGAAACAAGGAGTCCAGGGTCCACGTCTGTCCCTCTTCCGGAATTCGGC